GTTATAAATTTTTTATCATGGAAATTTGTTATTCTCTGTTTAATGAAAAGTACAAAGTACTTTAACATTGTAAATGGATTTTAAAGAATAACCGTTAAGTTGGTTTTGAGTAAAGTAAAAATATGTAAAGCATTTATACTGATTCTTTCCCACGATTTCATCCTTTTAACAAAAACAAACAATTTTATAAAAAAAATTTATTCAAAACTTAAGCTGGTATGAAATGAATACTCAAAAAGATGTTTATGATTTATTTGAAGGATATTTTAGGAAACAAATAATTATTTGTAGTATTTTTTATTTGTGATAAAAATTGCATTTATATTTTAACTCATCAGTTTTTGGAATTTATAAAGGTACAATACATAACAAATAATTATAATTATTAAATATGATAAGTAAAGTTTAAGTAATTGATTGAAATTTATTCATATGTGTATTATTTTAGTACAAACAATTTATAAGCTATAAACTAAAATGGTTGAAAAAGTTCCATTACGGAAAGCTATTGAAAAGTTGAAGCTTCCTGCAATTATAGTTTTTGGTAATCCCTTGGCGGATTATCATGTACACACAGGAAATAAAGATTTGCTGGAAAAATATCTTGAAGTAGATGGAGAAACAGAACTTCTAGAGGAGACAGTGCATAAATTGATACTAGATTTACCACTACAGTTAATTAGTATATTTGTTAATAGCTGCTATATGTTTACATTGTGTATATTTTATATAAACATTTATTTTTTTTAATTGTTTTAAAGTAGGCATGAAATTAACTAATAATTTGTATAGAGAGTGTACAATGTAAACATTATCATTTTAATTTATATTTGGAAATCTTTCTATTTAACATTATTTACTTATTATCATATATAAATATGAAAAAATGTATAGTAATGTTAAAGATCAAAATGTTTATAATGTCTATATGAAACAGGTCAGAATATGGATCAAGTGCTGAGGGATTAGGACGAAATTCAATGCGAATTTTACAATGGCTTTGTGATGAAACTTTTCAAAAGCAATATAGTGTTTATTGTGGAAGAATTGGTGATGGAGCATCATTGTTGAGATATTCAATTCGAGCAGCAGATGTGGATGACAGGTTTGCATATTCTCCAAAGTTTATACTTTATTTTCTGTATATGTATACCTAAGAATATATGTTTTTACAGGTATTGTATAAATTACAGAGTATTGTATAGTATTGACATATAAATTACAGAGTACTGTATAGTATTGACATATAAATCATCTCGCAGCATTGCGACAGATATAGGAGCTGGTGGTGTATTTACTCTACATGATCTTAACAGAGCCCAGTTTCTATTGCGTACGGCAAAAATGATTTATATTGAAAAGTATTTTGTAACATATAGTTTTCCTGTTGTGCTAGAAATTGCTAAACAGGTAGAAGAAAGAAGCAACATAGTAGTTGTTAACCTTAGTGGAACATATATATTTAATGTACATAAATATTTTTAATTTTAATTAATGATTAATTTAGTTCATTAATATATGTATTAGTAATAATTTCATATTAATTTTAATAGGATGATCATCTAGAAATGTGTAAAATTGTTGGATATGCAAATATTGTATTTGGTAATGTAAGAGAAATGGAAGCCTTGGCTCAGTCATTAAATGTTACATATGATAATGTAACAGATATACCATTTTTACTGAATGCTTTAACAAATATTACAGTCAGTGTTTCTAGTACACTCAATGAAAATTGGGTACATCATGGTAGAGTATTTGTTATGAGCCAAGGTGAATCAGCTCCAGTAATTGCTGTTTGGGGAAAAAATCAATCTGTTCAAGTATGTTAATTTATTTAAATATATTTGAAAAAAATTTACCAAATAAGTAAAAATGAGAAAGAAATTAAAATATAATTTGTTCATATGTTACTTAGGTACAGCCAATTAAACCAACAGCTCCTGTTATAGATACAGCAGGTACTGATGATGCTTTGGTAGCTGGTTTTTTAGCAGGTGTTTTAGCTCAGTGGAGCCCAAAACATTGTTTAGAATATGGTTGCAAAGTAGCATCTTTTATACTAACCAGACATGGAGTTGGATTACCAGAAAATGTACCACCAGATTTGTTAGAATGATAAGAATAATATACTATTTATGAAATGGTTTGTCATTAAATATTATTTATTTATCTCATGTGAAATTCTAAGAGTAATTTTTACTCACAGTTTTATTAATAAAAAATTATTGTGATAATAGAAATGTAAAGTCTAGCATTTATGTTTCATGTAATTATATTGCAGTCTTATCATTTCCATACTTGTTTAAATGTTGCAGAAACGAATTTCTAATTTATTTTACATGTTGTACTAATATTAGATTTACAAAATTTACGAATAATTATTATTTTTTCCTAGAAAAAGTAATACTGTATGTCTATAATATAGAGTGGTGCCAAGGAATTTAATCATGCTGTTAATTGTATCATAAAAATCACAAAACTATGAAATATTTAAATTAGATAAAGTTAATGATGAAGCAAAATATGTAAGTTTGTCCAAATATATAAACATTCATCCTATTATATTATAT